TTTTGTATACTTTTGTATTGCGTGCGGAAATTGCTACCACATTTGGGCGAAAATGGTAGCAATTACCGCAGCAATACAAAAGTATCCAAAATTGCAAAGTTTGCAAAGCTATATTTTCCTCATTTTACAACATTTCGCAACCAAACTTTGCAATTGTATTCATTTTAGTCTGCTCTTTCTAGCTGTGATGATTTATTTGCAGCTCCTTGCCTAGTTTTAAAATTAGTTTATAATTGTATATTAAAGGGGTTTGCAATACGCTCTCATGGACCCGCTTTGTTATTTTATTCTGTTTGCATAACGCATGCAGTTGACACTATACTCGTGGAAAGGAATGTGTTGCACTTAATGGGTTACAATGCGCTTTTGTGTTCGCCTTTTGTTAGTTCACTCTGCCTAAAAACCGATGCTTTCCTTTGTAAATTATATTCTTGACCGAAACTGACCTCATCGGCCATCTTTTCTTCATCAACGACGCCAATTTTGTCCGCAAACTCCAGACGAAGAAACACCTGTAATTTATATCTGCAAGAAAAAAATGTTGTTGTTTCTGAGTATCAGCCATCAGGTTGATTCCGTTTACATGTACTCTGCACTAGCAACAAGGATTTATAGCTCAACGTATATGTATACTAAGTTGTGTAGAACACCGAAAGATGCCCTTACTCTAAAACAACTCTTTCTTTGTCCGATTCATTTTTTTCAGCATCAGAAATTTCCCGAGATTTTTTGCCATCACGCAGTACTGTCGACTTCAACAAACTATCGATTTCATCCTACATAAAAATATAGATCATACATATCAGACAGCGAAATCGATGTTTCTAGATCAATGTTTCATGTTTGATACTTTGATTGTTATAAATATATGATATTTCGGAATCAAGGAAAGAGGCGAATGTTTGTTCATTGTCTGAAGGATTTTAAGGCAAAGAGAAAGAGAAATGGGTAACGGTTCAGCTCTGCTGCATGTAGAAAGTGCATGTACGCGATCGTATTTGTCTGAAATATTTGGCGTGCGCCAAGCTAATTTCGGCGTACAATGGTCCTATTCCCTAATGAACAAAAATTTGATCTAGACAAGTCTTGACAAAGATTTTATCACAGCTTGAAAGAGCATCACAAAATTAGTAATATTCCGAAGTTTCGTTGCGAAATGTTGTAAAATGCAGATAATATAGTCCTGCGAAGTTTGCCGTTTTTCAGTCATTTTGTAAAACGGCAACGAAACTTCGGAATATTACTAATTTTGTGATGTTCTTTCAAGCTGTAATGAAATCTTTATCTAGACTTGTCTAAATCAAAATTTTGTTCATTAGGGAATAGGTCCATTGTTCGTCCCCGCGTACGCCTATTTTTTAAGTCCTGAACACTCTAACCAACTGAGCTACAGTAGACCCTGGCTTGCTAGGTTGAGCCTCGAGATGGTTCGTGAGTACTCAAACATCTCGTTACACAGTAAACTTACGACGTCTTTCAGTTGACCAGAATGTTTAAAGTGCACGATCATCTGAAAAGCACGGCTTACGTAAACAGTCACAGACTGCTCCTAGAATAAAATACAAAAAAATGAAATCAAAATTATTATCTATTTGTATAATAGTATACATCCACAATTTGATGTCGTTTTCAAATTTGCTAGCACGGAATTCCACAAAAATTCTCACGTACTTGGTTAAGACATCTTTGATATTCGTTCTCTAGCTTTGTCTTCAGATCGTCAACACTTTGAATAACTGTAAATATAAAGGAATCGACATTTGGTATATGCAGTAAGGAAACATTGAAAATTTTCTGCAAATACTCAAGTATAAAATCGACACTCGGACACTGTAAGTGCGTGACACTAACAAGTTGTTAAACTGAATGTCATGCTATCTTCTAACAGAAAAAATTTATTTCAGTGTACTCAGAATCTTAATAATACTTTTAGGAATGTAACATGAAACTAATTTAGATAACTAGGGTCTGATCTTATAAGGTAAATACAGATGCCAGAAAAGGAACTACTAGGGGGCACGTACTATCAGGGGATCCATGCTTTCCCAGAAAGTTTTGTAAAATCAGGTGTCCCATATTGGCTAAAAATGCATTTGCCATACAACATTTGTTACATCATTCTATAGTCTATACATTTATACACTATCACACTATTAAGATGGATGCACTTATAATTGCATTTCTGAAGTCATACCTACAGTACAGGTAACATTCTTTCTATTGGTTCAAATATTTACTTTGAATTTCTCCTTTTTCTACATTATTACAATTATTTTTTTTTTTCTTAGGAAACTATTTCCTGGGACAAATAAATGGTCCAATACTTTTCCTCCTGTTGCTGGAGGGTTTGAAATTAAACGAGATTTAGAGACATGACCAGCTTTTACCTGACATATCAGGTAGGTCTTCATCCATTGCATCAGTTTGTTCTGAGTCCAAATTTGATAGTGTTGCAGTTGAATCTTCAGTTTCCATTGTGCTGTCCATTATCTTATTCTGAGCTTCACTTTCGTTCTGTTTTGAAGTTATATTTTTTTGTGAAGTTTCTTGCAACAATTTCCCCCTTGTCAACGCCGGGGCTTGAGTTGCCATCTTCTCGCTGTTTGATTTAGATTCCTTCTTGGAATAATAATCTTTGAGCTTTAGATGCAATTCCTTTCCCGACTTGGGTTCTTTGAACTTCTTCTTTTGAAAACTGCTGTTTTTTTAAAAAAATGCATAACTCATAAACTGCCACTTATATGATTTATACTAGAAAATAGAGACGTTCAAATCCGATCCAAAGCCAATCAGAATGGCAGGAAGAATTTTCTTCCTGGGAGCACAACCTGGAGACAAAAATTTTTCTGCAGGCCAACAGAGTATTTTTGTGCTAAATCTGCATGTGCATAAACATATAATGTTCTAGCTGACCATGGTTTTAAGTTCAAGGAATAATGTCTGTCAACCATATGTTGTTGCGCCCATAGTGGGACATGGGTGTTAAGGTTTCCTTCAAATTTTCAATAGCAAATCTTCATTCAAACAAATTCCCTGCAGCTGTTTAACATTTCCTGCAAGCAGTGCTCATCTATTTTTTCCACCCCCCTATTAGAAAAAGATCATCATTCTAACAAACTGTCTGAAACATTTTCCCTAAATAAAGTATTCTTACCAGATGTATGAATGAGTGATGCCCTTTTCACTGCTGTTCCCATCTTTCGGCCTCGACAACATACTATTTATTCCTTCATCATTTCCAAATTCCTCTTTATTCTCTCGGAGATCAAATGGTAACATCTCGGAGTCACCTTCATCTGATGTGACGTCACATGGGACTACTATGTAGCCATGTGATCTATGACGTAACAGAGCCTTCTCAACCAGTAGCAGCTTGTCTTTCTTGATCATGCTCAGTATGGCACAAAGCGAGGTGATTGGCTGAAGCAGGCCTGTAACATGTGTGCCTGTGTCAGGATCTTGGTACTCGACAACCTGTGAAGAGAAATTAAGCAAAGATGAAAGACCATTGTTTGCTTATAATATTACTACTAAGAAGCCATATTGAAAATGCAAACATGTATTTACATGTGGCCCAGCAGCAAGCGCAAAAAAGACAGGGGCAAGTTTTGTCGTGACAGGAAGTTTTCATGAAAAATTTTTATGACAGATATATTCACAGTATTTAATGTATCTTCTGCTTTTCATCAATATAATTATTATTTTTAATTAATAGCAGTATCACTGTACCATACAGACATACTGCCAGACATTTGCCCTTTCCATGTCGGACAGTGTCCGTGTCCAGCTACTTATTTTCAGGCTTGCAATTGTATGTGTGTGAGCATTTCAAAATCATACCCAGAAACTCAAACACATGAGCACACCCAAGACTTACCATGCTGAGAGATTTACTACCAATTAGAGACAACATCTGCTGAAACAGTCCAGCATCTTCTGTATTCTCGACCTCTCGACTGTTCAAAGTTTCCCCACTAAAACACGAGTATAACTTTGTCGGATGCATCCACGATGGAGAAACGTCGGCATTGGCAATAACACCTTTGATTACAAAACAATTTTCTAAACTGTCTCTTTCTGCCTTTAGTACCATGTTGCTGTTTGTTGATGTTGAACTGTTTACTTCATCGTTAGTTTTGGGATCCAAATCTGGAAGTGTTTGTTGAGAAGCAGCCAATGATGAGTTATCATCAAAGCTTGGTTTTTCCACGTTTACATTGTCGTGGTTGTGATTATCTATGTCATCAGATCCAGGTGTTTCAATGTTAGAACTGCACTCGCCAGGAGTAGAGGTCGACTTCTTCTGGAGTATGTGTGATAGCACGACAGAGCAAACCCTCTTTTCTGAAGGAAATAAAGTTGTGCAAATTTGTACATCTGCTACCGTAGTTACCATTTCATTCTTCTGATTGTGTTTATTCACAAAAGAAGGAAAATGGACTATATATAACTTTATTTATGCTGGATAGCTCTACAAGCTCTTCTACCTCATGGGCATTCGTTGCGGGTGATGTTGATAAACTTGGCATCTGTTCATAATCTCTTAATAACACCCTGACATTCACCGATACCTCTAACCCCCGTAACAAATGCCCAGCTGAGTTTGTTTCAAGGGTGCAGTGTTGCCAGTGTTTGGTAGATCAAGTCAAATTGGAAGTACTATTCTTACAAACAACTGTGGAGTTGTAACTAGATAACTGTATATTCAAGGACCTCACAGATACCACAAATACCCCATAGTGCAATGCAGGATGGCTTCAGAAAATATATTGGGTCATTCCAGAAAAGATCCATACTCCCCTCACGGAGGAAATTTCTGCCGTCCGGAGGGGGAGGGGATAAAAAAATGTTTCTGATCATACCGTGGGGGTGGTATGGATGTTTTCTGGAATGACCCATTATGATCTTACCTTGAAAATGCAAGATTCCTTTCAATAATCCATTACTATTTGGGATTAGTTTTACATTGTTAATTACAGCTTCACTGATCAAGTCTTTTCCACTAAGAAACGCCTCAACGGTTTTCCCAAATGAAAATTTGAAAGCAGCCGTCATCACTCGGACCTCTGCCAACGTGTTGGCCTTTAGTTTAAACCCCTTTGGACTCAATGTACTGTTTCCCAAGTGAGGCAGACAAATGTTTCTAGCATCTTGTACGAGAGATGAAATTGGGACTATATTTCCACAAAGTTGTTTAGTGACACATGATATCAAGCTGTATCCTTTCCAATCCTTAAAATATTAAAAACAAAACAAATTACTAAATGAACAACGAAACACATAATCAATTTTGTGAGTAGCGAGCAAGCCTCAGAATAAGTGCCGTCACATTAATTGACCACTAAATTTTTTAGTTTGACCAGCAAATATAAAACATACTGGACACACATGACCAGTGACGTTTTTAATGAAAAATACTATGTATTTTTCATTAAAAACGTCATAGAATCTGGGTATTTTTCTTCACAATAATATATGTACCTAGTCGACCACCATCTACCGCCCTGTAACCATAGCAACAGGAAATGTAACAAATAACACAAACCTCGACCGACGTCTTCAATTTCTCGGGAGCAACACACCACAGACCCGAGTCAATCCAGAACAACGACAAACCACATTTGCTGTGAAACTCTTCATACAATGCCGCAGAAAATATTTCCTTGAAAACGACCTCGGCATCAAACGAGCTTTCATTTCTGCCCAAAAACAGACACATATCGGCATCCGATAGAGGGCAATCACCGACCACAAATAAATAATTCCTAGGCCTGTTGCCTTGACTGTGAAATTGATCATACTTAGCACTTCTCGAAGGTGAGCTGATGTCCGGAGTCACCCAGGGAAAATCATGTAAAATTTCAGTCAGACAACATGATAAACTTTTTACACCGGCAGTTTTTGCTGAATTTTGACTGTTACTGGCATTTGTAAAACGCTGCCTCATTTCCTCCTCGAACTGTTCAAAAGACCCACTGTTCAGTTCGTAGAATCGTCGTCGTTTGTATTCAAAATTGAGGACATTTGAATTATAAAACTTGAAACCCCATTTCAAAGGAGCGAAGTTCCCGCACTCAACAACGGAATTAAAATGCAGTAACAAACGCAAAACACACAGCGAAATTGCTCGAGACTTTAAGTTGAAGATGTCTTCTAAATCTTGTTCACAAATATTTTGTTCCTCAACAAACACATCGATCAAAAATACGATTTGAAAATTCCCTCCTTGTTCAAATTTTTCCGCCATCTTGGTTGCATGATTTTTAGCAACCCCCCGGAAAAGTTTCAAGTTCTGTCTGTTTGTCTGTTCTACCAGTACAGTCTGTCTGTTCATTCATTTCGTTCATTCATTTTGTTCATTCACTCCAGGAGGCTGCTCCATTTACTGTTCTAGAACATTTGTTCTGAATGATATGAAGTGGAGTGCACACGGTGTTCTGGAACAGTGTTTAGTTTATTATATATGCGTGCACGCAACCGTGCATTACACACGTAAAAACGCACAAGTTGCAACAAACCTGCAGCAGACTTGTAGCAATGCTGTTCCAACAACTTGCTGTTCCAACAACAGGATGTGTTCGCACTGCTTGTTCTCAGCTTGTTGGCAAGTTGTCAACGGCTTTTTGACAACTTGCTACAAGGTTGTTGAGCTCAATAGACTTGTTACAAGTTCTTCCAACAACTTGTTATCGTCCTGCAATTCAACAATTTGTCAACAAGTTGTGAGTGACAACCTTGTAGCAACTTGACGAAATAACAACATTGTTACAACTTGTTGACAAGCTTGCTACAAACCTGTTGTGAACACATCTTGTTGACAAGTTGTGAGATTTTTACGTGTGTACTATATTCATTAGTTATTCGCATAATAAATCGTATAATGATTTGCTGTTATTTGTAATCTAAGTATGCTTTTGCAACGTTTTTACTCGTTGATTTTGCCCAACCCTGGCGTTCAAATACCATATAATAAATATATATCGATATACTGCGGTCAACCCTTCAAAATAACACTCTATGCAGTGCGCATTGGATACACAAAATGTCGCCTCTGTTTCCAATCACGTGGAAATGGGCAGTGTCATGTGTTCTGTTCTAGCTGCCCGTTACTTTGAAGTTGGGGCAGCCAGAACAGTTCCGAACAGTCATGTGATCATATTCTGTTCCATTTCATTAGTGTTCGCAAAAAGCACGTCATTTTGGCAGAAGAAACTCGTTTTTGTGTATGTGACATTGGAGCCCATTAAGGGCATTTTTTAACTATATAACTGCTGGAGCATTTACCCCAGTAGGCCCTTTGCTTGCCCCAGTAGTGAAGCATGATTTTCAGATGAACTGGGCCCTTTTAATCATTAGTAAAAGGTTAACCTTGTTGAAAATGCTGCATCTGCCTGCTTTTTCATATTCTCTCATATTCTCGACATTAATTCCCTCATATAAAAGTCGGCACAGGCAGCGGTGGTGATAAAAGTGTCAAAAGTGGGTTGTGGGTGTGGAACACCCCCAATTGTTAGGTAGTCGGCAAATTATCTAATACCAGTTAGTGAAAAGAAATACTAATTAGCGTTTGAAGTTAGTAGGCAATATTTCACTTACACCCACCCCTTATATTTAAATAGCACTAGTGACGCCACTGAGCACATAGTGATTTTATGTACCCGTATAAGCTGTGTGGGGAAAAGGCCCTCATTGAAACTAAGCCCCAGTAGTTGAAATTTCTTAAAAAATGTCATGACCCTGCCCAATCTTTCAATCACGAAAGTGAGGCTCTATAGGAAAAGTGACGTGGAGGAGGGCTCGACAAACGGACGATCTGTCAAGAACCGAAGTATCTGCGCAGCTTGTTTTTAAATAGATCATTAACTATGTAGATAAGCACGGCAATAGACAAACTATATATCATGATCATATCAGGGATGATTTGTCCTTAAAAACTATTGCCAATAAATCGCGCTATTCTACTGCTGGGTATAGTTCGTCTGCTGTTTACACTTTGTTTAATAACCCGTGGGGGAGGTGATCCATCGTCATGGATTAACCGGCTCATGTATTTGGATTTGCTTGGATATTAATATGTAATTCTTCAACAAATGAAGAAATAAATTCGGTCTATTTAGTATATTTAATTATTACTACTTTACCCCACGATAATATCCAAATCTTGTAAAATAGAAACTGACTTTTATCTCCACGCAAGAGTGTAATGCAGCGGGGGTAGGAATAAATTAATAAACACTCAGAGCTCGAAAAATAGTTCAAAACACCTGCCAGAGACAACATAAAAACAGCTCATTAGTATTCGATGAGTGCCTTTTGCTCATATGTTAACTCGTTGACAGTAAGGAGGACAGTCAGCACGTTGGAAAACTGCGAACAAGGACTATTTGAAAACGAGAAAAACGACAGAGAAGAAGAATAAACACACAGGAATGATGGAAAAGGAAGGAAACGATTATGACGATGAAAATGAACTGCTTACGACTCAAGGCAACGGCTGTGCGACGAACACGGAGCTTTTGGGACGGGAATACTACGCTATGGCAGAACTATACCCGAGCAAGGAGCCGAACAGGAACGTTTGTGATAAACACAGCGAGGAAAATAGCGAGAAGGAAGCCGAGAAGCATGTCCTGGTCACAAGTAATTTCGCCAAAATCGAAGCAGACGTAGAGCACGGTTTAATTCCGTTCAGGATGGAAGGAAGAGGAAGCAGATGGCTGAGTAATATTCAGTGTGTAATGATAATGCTGTGCTTTTTGATCGTCTTCATCGTTTGCATCGTGCCGATTTTTTTCTCGCTGAAACACGCGGTCACAGGCGATAGCGACAAACACGATCAGTTTTCGATCATCGGGAACTGACATTACATTCAACGACACGATTTATATTATTAAAGATGCATCATCCATCGCGTTTCAAGAATGGTTTGTCGGGGTTGAAACACAAGATGAACTATATACAGACGAACTATATAACTAGAATATAGCGCATCTATGATTTTGGGAACAAAATATCATGTCTGATATTTTCTTATGTTAGTTTGTATAAAGTGTATTTGTTCACATAGATAGAACATCTGTATGCATATTAAGGCCATATCGACCTACGCATGTCAATTTGTCCATGGAGACAATCCACGTCAGTTCGTCTTGACAAATGACGCGCTTGTTTTCCACAATATCAGATGTTTCAAGGGAAGGCCATTCGTCAAGAAGTAGCATGCATCACTGTCCATGAATCTATCTACTAACTTCGCAACGAAGGGCCTTCGCTCGGATTTTATTTGTATTTTTCAAGTGGTTGAATCCCACATTACAAACTATCTCTTCTTTACTTGAGCTCGTCTGGATGGATATCCCTCTTTATGCTATAAATCTGCCAATATCTGTGTGATACGTTTTGAACAGAAGAAATTGGAAGAATAATTGAAATAAATACTACATATATGTACATAATTTTCAGAAAGTTTATACGTCAAACTTTGAAATTTAATATATTAAATATAGATTAAAAATAAGACATTCTTATAAAGATCTTTGGGGTTTTGAATTTTTATCTAAGACTGCGAGGCCAGTGTATAGGGCTAAATATGAATTCAAAGCAAATTGTTTTTTCTTTCTTTACATGAAGAAACAGCCCGTGGTAATGTACGTTTATGATGTAGAATTTGTTCAGCGATATCGATGATAGAATACGATATTATATGAACATTTATAGGAAAACAAAATATTGCGGGTCCAGTGTAGGTAATATTCTACTGTACAGTAAGCTGTCGTGGTTTGTGTCTGAACTACCTGAAAAGATATTCTACAATAAGTTTCAGATAGAAACCACGGCAGCTTATTGTAGAATACAACCTAAACTGGACCACCAAGTTCGAGATATCTTTTTCAGCAATTTCAGGTGTCCAGACACAAACCACGACAGCTTACTGTAGAATATTACCTACACTGGACCACCACGTTTGAGATATATTTTCAGGTAGTTCAGACACAAAGTCACAAACCATGCCAGCCTTATTGCATGTGTAGAATACTATCCACACTGGACCTGAATCTGCGCTTCATAAAAATATTGTTTTCAGGCAGATCACAAAGAGCTCCGAGCACTGCGAGCAGCTTTATTTGAATAATAATGCAGATTCATTAGCACGCATTAAAAATTAAGGAAGGCAAACACATGAAATTTAAATACATATATATATCGGACGTAATTTGCGGGAATACTCAAAAACGAAATTTAATGGCATCCCAAGGAGCTGAATATGTGTTAAATTAAACAATATATGCATTTCCAGAGAAACAAATCTATTAAAATAATCCAATATTTGATTGGATCGATTAAAATTTAAACTCAAAAGGACCTGGGACAAATAAAATCTGACGAAAAAGACATCAATTAATAATGAAAATCCTAAATTTGTATTTAATCACTGAAAGATGATGTTGTTTTGATCCACGATTCCACGTCATTAAATATATAGACGTATAGATTTTACAAGGTTGATTTACATTTTACACTATATCAAAGTAGGAATTTTGCATAGGTAAATTCTAAGTTTTGAAGGATTTGTAAGAAATGTTTGAGGAAACTGACTAAGTTAGTTCCCTCAAATATTTCTATAACAAATCCTGCAAAACTTAGAATTTACCTATGCAAAATTCCTACTGTGATCACAGAAACTTTGATAGTGTAATGGCACATTTAGGATCCATGGGTTTAGGTAAAAAGTTTTCGCACTATACGAGTTCAAAGTTAATTGAGATGGCATGCACATTTGACTATCATGTTGGACCCCTGCATTTATTTGCACAAGCGCTCGCGGAGTTCATTCGTTACTTACAGAGATTAATTTACACCAGTAGCACAGAGTTAATACATCCATCATTCTCAGGATTGTTCGTCACTTGTGCGTATTTTCCTACGAAAAAATAATCGTCTGGCATTAGACAGAATAAAGTATAGGGAAGCAGGGCACGTTAAAGTTTCATTCTTTTCGTAATGGGTTCGCATCTGTCGCGAACAGGGCTGGAAGTATAGAGAAAAAATATGGCCTGCCAGTCTAAAATATTTTTGGCAGGTGAATAAATTTTAGCCTGCCATTTTTATTCATTGAACTGCCAAAATGGCGATGTCTCATGTGAGTGATATTGTAAAAATCAATGTTTTCATGCAACGCATTTTTATTATTTTTAAACTTGGATTTACATTTCAAATATAAACGTATTTAGTCAACTAAATGATCCAGTATATATGAGTTGTGGTAAGCAAATGAAATGATTTATATCATTCTATAGAATTTCACCTGCCATTTTTTTTTCGCAAACTGTCCTTCTGGGAACCATTTTTGTCGCGGTTTTTTGACGTTTTTGGATAATTGACAATTCCCATTATAGACTAATTTTTTTATCTTGGCAAAAAAAGTATATTCCCGGAAAGAGCATATTAAAATTAGTATAAAATTGCAAAGTTTCGTTGCGAAATGTTGTAAAATGCGGAAAATATAGCCTTGCAAATTTTGTATACTCTTATATTGCGTGCGGAAATTGCTACCATTTTCGTTTTTTTACAGAGTTATTCAACAACCATCAAAGATTGTCAGAAAGCCAATGCTTATGTCCACCAGTGCGTTTAGGAAAACTCACCCCAAACAACTTTTCCGCCCTGAGTAACCAGTCCAAGTTCGCTAACATTGACCTAGTACATAAAATGGTTAAACCAAATGATGAAACAATAAGAAATATGCATTGAAACATTGGGTTGAAAATTCCAAAACACGAACTTTGTGAATTTTAACAATGCAAAGAAAAGTAAAAATATCCTGTGGCTGGGTACAACTTGTTTGCATTTCTGCAACAACTTGCGCGTTCTTACGTAAGTAGTATAGGTGGTTGTGTACCTCGATAACTGTTCCCTTGGTTATGACACCCAGTGACGTATACATAGGTGATTGTGGGTTCTTCTTGATGCCAATAATTGGAAGACAGAATGTCGCTTTCAACTGCAGTTGTAAAGAAGATGGATTAAACTATATGGTAGGAGTTGCCTTGCCTGGAAAAGTGCTGTTTCAAACTCGATGTCAGGGGAAAAACACATTGGAGTATTCTATGTCTGCCTCGTCCTCAGTTGATCTCTAAAAAGGTAACACATGTCTTTTTGCCCACATCCCATTGCTCTCCGCATGCCTGTAAATGCCACTCGAGTACTTCATGCGAACCTTTTAGATAGTGTTTGGGGACGAGGCAGATTTCGTGTTGTCTAAAGCACTAATAATGAAATGAAAGAGCACTGCTTTCTCCTGGAATAAGCCATTAAACGCTCATGGGCCTTGACGTAACTTTGAGCAAATGAATCTTATTTGCATTGCTTTTGCAAGAACACGATTTAGTCTAGACAGATCAAAGAGTCATATATAATGTGAACGAATGTCAACATAACATGCATAAGACAATTTCTATTTTCCTTTTTATTATGTTTGGAATTTGTAAATTAGCCTTTCTCACAAAGGCCAAAATCTGCCATTTTTGGGTTGGGGTACTGTCTGTCCTCGTGAAAGATTCTAGACAATTCAAACAACGTGAAAAGCAACTTTTAAAAAATGTAACTGTAAATTTACCATTACACAAATAACTACAACACTAAATAGTCACATTTCGTGGTATGGAGACTCTCAAACGTGGGAGGCAGTACCCCTGCCATGAGAAAGGCTAATTGAAGTAGACATCTGTTTATTACTTTCCCTAAATTGGAATTAGCAAAATAAGTGCAAAACATCCAAACCAACAAATCGAGACTCACAATATAAATGTTTTAATTCATACCTCTGGATGTGTGACATGCGCCTTTTTAAACCTTAGACCCTGTGTTGAAGAAAAAGACATTTTGTAGAAAATTCTCCAATTTTACAATAGAATAAATGTCTGTAGAACAACTCAGTGACAGATATTTATTTGGATTATTTAACCCACATAGCAGCACTCCGCCCTTGACAAGTAAAATTGCCTGCCATAATGCCATTAGACAGAGTAAATAATAAAGGGTGCATCAGGGCACATTTCCACTTTAAAAGTTAACAAGATATTCCTTACCATTGGCCTAATAAATCTTTCATATTTTGGTGGTTTTCTTGTAAACCCTTCACCAACATAACAAGCTTTTGTGACCATCCTCTTCCAGCCTTTCCCTAAAATACATCATTCAATATCTAGCAACATATTGTGCCATTCCAATGCCACAAGCAAATGGCGGAAGGGACTGCAGTAATTAGCAGATTGGCTACTCCATCCTAAAGCAGTTTCCTTGCCAATTTGTTACTAATTTGTAAAATAATAAAAGCTTACTTCTGGTCTTTCCAGTTTTAACAACTTTGAAAACTTCATTCTCTCCAACGGCTTTCACTTTTGGGAGTGGTACTTCCCATTTACCCTAGAATAAGTTTAGCTATTAGGATAAAAAACTTACATGCTACCTACAGTAGGCCAAATAAAAAAATACCTGAGTGGGTTTCCTATTTCTTGTTGCAAAAACTTAGGGTAGGTCAGGTTTACTTTTTTTGCAAATTGTTTTATAAATGTCCTGATGCATGATAATCATATTATTATCTCATCTACTGTAGGAATTCAATACGTAGTAATTGCACACAGATTACACAAACATTTGTTAAATGTTATATCAACTTTGGAACATGAGTTATACTTTATATGGCTGCAAGCTCTTTGCAAACTTTAAATAAAAAGATAGGGTTGTTGATTTCAGTGGCCAAAACCTAGGTAGGTTTGGGGAACAAGAAATGATCATTACAATTTAGGGAGATTAGTGAACAACAAAGACTCACAGCTTTTTCTTTTCTCTTTTGTTTGATCATATTGTTGAGAACTTTAGCTCGTGACTGCCCCTCACGATCCAACAGATATGCTGGTACGGCGCCATCTGGAACATCCTCTTCATTCCGTGTTTTTGTTTTTTTCTCCTGGTGCATTTTAATGCTGGTGAGAACAGAATAGATGTTTGATTGGCTTCTTTGTGCATGTGTGTTTTACCATTGAAACTGCAGGGGGGTGCATTCCCCCAAATATTTTATACCCCTTCAGAAAATTGGATTAATTAAATGAGAGTAGTATTGAACACAGGATTTTGAACTAAATAGTAAATAAGACCCCCTGTCTCCACTGGATGAATAAGAGATGATCCTTAGTGGATCTGTAGGAAGAACAGTTTAGAACTGATAGAGCTATCCAGTATAAATAAAGTTAGTTTAGTTTAGGTTTCCTCCTGTAGTAACACTGAATCAATAAGAGATGATCCTTACTGGACCTCTAGGAAGAACAGTTTAGAAATGATAGAGGTATCTGGTATAAATAAAGTTAGTTTAGTTTAGGTTTCCTCCTGTAGTAACTCTGAATAAATAAGAGATGGTCCTTAGTAGATGTCTAGGGAGAACAATTTAGAACAGTCTGACAGATCTATCCAATATAAATAAAATTAGTTTAGGTTAGGTTTCCTCCTGTAATCACACTGGATCAATAAAAGATGTTTAGAACTGATAGAGCTGTCCAACATATATAATGTTTTCTTTTATATTTGTGATAATTTAAAGATATTTACGTTTTCTTCATCTGCACTTTCTCTGCATGTCTTTTCTTGTTGTAAATTTTTGCTCGAAGTCCATGCAGTTTCTTCGCATGTTCAGCTCGCTCGTGAACCTCTCGAGCTTCTTTTTTTCGCCTGTCAATGAAAAAAAAGTCCCTCATTGAATTATCAGACTTTTGTAACTTTTCAATGTGGTAATTCTAGACGCTTTACTTGAAAATGCTTTTTAACCCCTACTTCTGAAAGATAAACATCACGTTCTGAGTAAACGTTGTCTCGCTGCAAACACTACTTACTTTCTTTCAAAATGGTCCAGTCGGCGGCCATATCTCTTTTGAGATAACTCAATGTGCTCATTTTGAGGCTAAAGAAGGACACAGAAATCAAAGCTAGGCAATCATGATACAACTTCAGGTGAGTCAGTTTGTTACAACTTCACTGCATGATAGGTAATGAAGAAGAACATAGAAAAGGTAAAATCTAAGTACATACAGGGTTCTCCATAGTCGTGAGTGGGACAGGTAAAACAGGTTTTTCAACAGGTATAAGCATCAAGTCGCACCTATACAAACCTCTAGGGGGTCTGGGGTATACCAACGGAAAATTTTGAAATCTGAAATGGCATTTCCTGCATTTTGAGGGAAGATTTAAACTTTTATAGAATACTAAAGATTATATTCTAAACACACGCCAATTTAATTACTCAGTCCCCAGGCCCACGCTGGGTTGATAATATAATCATTCCGCCAAAAAATTTTGTTCACAGATCGGGTTTATAGGATATTTCTGTATTCAATCTATCGATGCTAAATAATTAATATTGTGGAATTTCAGCAATACTTGATTGATTGATTATTAAAGGAATACTGAATGGTTTTCCGTGCAGGATTGCGTGATCCATGCACGAGGGATGTCGCGAGACTTTCGGAAAGCGTAAAAATACTCGAGCTGCAGGCGAGTGTATTTTCACACTTTTCCAAAAGTCGAGCAACATCCCAAGTCCATGGATCACGCTATCCTGCTTGGAAAACCATTTGGTAGTTGTTTTATAAAATAACTGCAGTGAAACTATGACATTTTGAAAATCCCGCGAAGGCATTATAATTCCTCGTGCAGGATAGCCTGATCCTGCACGACTATTGACCAATAAAATTGCGTGTTTCACTGTAGTTATTATATAAAGGATTTTCTCACACCTTATTACTAATTATTTCTTAACAAATGTACACAAATGTATATTTAACTTGGGCTTCTCCAGGCGGTAATCAGTGCTCGTGGAAACGGTAAATTTTACCGGTTACCGCCTGATAAGAACCCTGACATAGGCCTCTGCATATAATTGATATAAAGTATTAAAGTTACTCTACTCATAACTCATAATTTATAACTTATTACTGTATAAAATCAGTGAATATTGGTGATAATTGATAAATCTATTCTATACTATATAATGTTGTGATGCATAGCTTGAAACATTACAATGTATTAAATCTAAAGCTATAGGATACAGCAATACATAAAATTACATATATAAAATACGTTCATTTGGTTCAAAAATCGTAAAAAATATTAGTAAAAAATTTTAAGTTTGTAAGTAGGAAAAATATATTTACAGTAAAAATCACAACAAGGAAAGCATATCTTACCATCTTTAGGCTACCGTGATAAAATACCCAGAATCAAGAATCAATATGAAATGAAAATGGTCCACGATCTTCTAAAATGTTACATTATTTTCTCAATTTATAATTATTTACAACTGAAAATTTACACCACGCGACGGCCATGTTGCAAAAAAAGACTGCGTGTCCCAAAATGCCCTGCACCATCCTTTAAATAACCCTTATCTTCACTGCCTTACCATTCTAAATATCCTAAATAATCCGTGAATATCCTGAATTATTCCTAAACACCTAACAAAAATCCTATATATCCTAGACAAACCCTAGATATTAATATCCCAATTAAACCCTCATAATCCTTAAATATCATATATTATCCCTAAAATTTCGTATAGTACCCAAAATATCCAAAGTTACCCCGCCTAAAGATACGTCATAATTCGTCATAATCCAAAGTACGCATGCTCAAAACATATAAACAAAAATAATCAAACAATAAAAAATGCTCTTTCCTCGAAAAATTAAAATACTTTAGCTTTCTTTTGTATTCAAAATACAAATTCAATGGGAATAGAGAGATCGATAGTCCCTTGTCGATTAAAAAAGGTAAGGCTATTGGATTTTTGTAAATTATGATAATAAACATGTATATTTATTCAGTACCATACAATGTGTAACTGTGTGTTGAATATACGATCGCTTGTAAACAGTATAAAACAGTTATTTTACCTGTAGTCACGCGATATACATGAACCCTTAGGACATGAATCCTTAGGATTCATAGATTTCTGATTCTTTTGTTTTCCCCTAAGATATAATATTAATATGCCTTGAAGAATCGAATATTAAATACTGTACTTTATATATTGAAGACTTGTGTTACAATATGTATAAATACAAGATAAGCCCATATTCGTGTTTAATCATTCGTTATATTAGACAAATTCCTAAGCGTTGTGTACATCAGCCCTACATAAAAGCCAAGTACTTTTAGTAAGTTTAATTTTCAGGTAAAATGAGAAAAAACTTTCATATTTGTCAATAGACAATTAGTCATATTAAACTCAAAGAAAGTTTTCACTCTTGAGCACCTGCAATGAATTTGAGACTTTTGAGTATTTTGAGATATTGCCCTGTTGGGCTAGCCCATGAAAAATGTTACCATTGGGTTTATAAATAAGGCCCTTTAAGAAGGGCAAAGTAGTTTAATCCAATGGTAAACTAATAAAGTATTCTGTCCACAATATTTTATTCGAAATAACTGTGATATAAAATTTTTATCCCAGCCTATTAGTTAGGGGCCTCATCCATACTCATGTTGCCACAAATAACATTGAATCGACGTTATGAGTGGGTGGGCTTTTGTGTGAACTTGTCGACGTTATCTCCTGGCAATTTAACAATTAATGTCCAAAGTAACTAGATCACGTACAGTACAGCTTTTGTATTATAAATACAAAAGTCAAAATACAACTGAATATCGATCAATGTTATCTGGGGTGGGTGAAGTAATAATGTTGATTCGACATTATTTGTGCAACATGAATATGGATGTGGCCCCTTAAGGCATCTGTATAGCTGTTCAAAGCCTGTGATTCACACATTTAACATTGTAGTTGTATTTTCAGTAGATAGAATATGAATAAGGTTCATTCCTGTCGTCGATTCATCTCGAACATCAAAGGAAATGTTTTAAGGAATGAACGTAAGTATACGGGACACAGTTACGATCAGGTTTGAGATTAAGTTTAGGATTATGGTGAGTTGTCGGATTAGAGTCAGAATTGTGATCTGACGATTGAAAGGATTATGTTAAATGGTGGAGGGCTTAAAGTAAGCAGTGTTTTTTGACAACACATATGCCAACTGGAAGTCAATCAAGCTGTTATAGATTCTTGAAATCAAGAACAGCAGTCATTGAAGTTTTACGTTTGTGACTACAAACAGAAATGGCTATCGCCATCACTTGTCATATATAATGGCTCAATTGATTTCCAGTTGGTGTCGCTCGTGCTCTCTAGTCAATACAAAAATTTGCCCTGTTTTGCATTTTCAGGCTCATTTCTTCACCAGAGCGTATCAAGACTTCTTCCCATCCGTACGCCACAACTAGCTCTTCTTGTGGACAGAAGACGACATGTGCATGTCGGCAGTGCATGGTGTGATGAGAAGAAAGATCCACCAGGGGGATCTGAGGGTCAAGCTGATGGTGGGGAAACAGGGAAGGAGGTTAAGACGGATGAGAAAGAGGGAAAACAGGGGGGCAATGGCGGTGGTGGTCATCTGAGGTGTCCGAAATGCGGTAGCCCTTGTACGCATGTAGAGACGTTTGTCTGTAAGTATTGTTTGATTGTTTGATTCACGGATTGTCCTCGTTTATATTATGATTATGATTCCCGATTTGTCAGAATATTCAGGAAATATCGTAAAAAAATCATAAACATACTGTTTTTAGCAAGTGGACATAATAGTCTGTCTTGACCTTTTTATGAAGTTACTTTATGGCAATTTATAGGATCACTTATAACAACATCTTCCCAAAATGCAGGAAACACCATTTCAGAAGACTTGATTTTTATTATTTTCCCCCAGAAGAACTAGATTTCAATTCACTGAACAGTCTCCCTACATATTACCTCCAGTAGTTGGAATGTCTGGTTTAGCGAAATATATATACAGCCGAAATTACACACCTCTTCAATGCCTTTGAACAGTGATTGTTTTAACACACAAAGTACACACAAACCTTGTGTAGTTGACTTTCATTAGTAAGAGCTTTGTGTATGGTAATTAGAATTGTCTTTAATGTTGGATTTGTTGACCAACTCTTTTCACATGAGTTTGTAGCAAGAATGACCAGGCTCCCAAGGCCTTGCTATAACAGAAGACAGTATATCATTGGCATGGAAAGTTATCTGATTCTGAGTGTATGAACCCAAGACCAATTATCCTTTTTTTTCTTTCCAGCATCAACAAGATTTGTAAAATGTGACAAATGCCATCATTTTTTTGTCGTGTTGTCTGACGTCGATACCAAGAAGTCACTCAAGGCCGAAATGAAACATGCGGCTCTGGAAACCGAACAGAAGACAGAAAAACCCAAGAAAAAACTACCTCCTCCTAGAAAAGTTAGTTTGAGTACAATGGCTATGAGGCTGCAGTATGTACTAGCTGCATGCTCCAGTTCTGCATTCTGAAAAATGATTTTCACACTGAAAATCATAGTGTCGTAATAGATTTTATTCAGTTCAAGGTTGATACCCCTCGACCAAGCAAAAAAGTTTAAAACAGAGTCTTAAAACTACTTTCCTTTCTCTATCTTTCTCCGAAATTCACATATTCTATTTTAGCCTATTGAGTGCCAGTTAGGGCACATTTGGGCACAGTGCAACTCAATGGGTCAACCAGATACATGGCCAAATAGTCTGATTAACTCATTGGCCACTAGCACTCTCCCCTTGACAAGTAATATTGTCTGGCATTAAAATGATAAAATTATAAAGTACAGTAGGTCACACTAGGGTACAAAACTACAAAACAGGTTAATGGGTGAAGGTTTTATGTTCAATTTAAATTTAGACCCAGCATACACCTAACAATTTTGAAGTGCTAAAAAAGATTTGAAGTACTTGCGACACAAAAATTTATTTTTGAGAGTGTATCGAACAACCCAAAACTTCTAGCCCTATGTTATTGAAGTATGGCCTTGAATTTTCCCTCTAGATTTTCGACTTTCTCAATAACTATGTAATCGGTCAAGAGCAAGCGAAGAAAGTGTTGTCAGTTGCTGTATATAACCACTACAAGAGACTAACCGTCAACATCACTGATGACGTAACACAGACGTCACAGAATACGTCACAACGACCCGCAGTCATTGTTACACCCGCATCACCTTCGAACCCTCCTAGAGGTATGGAATGACCGTTGACCAAAAATAGATACACCTACTATGTATCATAAATTGTGAAACACGAAAGAAATCATGACTGTGAAGGTGTTTGTATATCTGATACAAAATCATGCTGATTTACATAAACTTTAAGTTCAATATTCTCCCCAAATATCACTCATTTATTTTAAATTGTCGAAGAATACGAATGTTCTCGTCAAGAATATAACGCGGCCGCTCATGCATGTTGTGGGTAGTACAAAAATGCCACATCTTTATTCTTGATGTCCTAATTTTTAGAACTTTTACAAATGGCAATCAACATGCATCACAACTCGCCTCTGGGAGCGAACAAGGTTGAATCTACAACACAAACGACGGAAGAGTCGCGTGGAAGCGACGCGTTGGACAGCAAAAGTGATAAAGTCAAGTTAGACAAGAGTAATATATTGATGCTTGGACCCACTGGTTCAGGTTGGTAGTTCTCAGTGATTAATTCTCTGGTAATTGAAACGCATGTGAGAGCGCTTCTTCCAGTTTAACACTGCAGGATTTTTTACAAAATGTACCCTAAAATCCTAGATGGATGATCGTTACTGGATCTCTAAAGATAACAGTTTAGAACTGACAGAGCTATCCAGTATATAAATATAAAGCTATACTAATATTTAATGAGAGCTGTCTAGAACTGGTAGAGATCTAGTAAAAAGTAAAATTTAGTCACATTTGCCTTTCTCCTGGAAGAACAGTTTAGAAGTGATAGAGCTATCCAGCATAAATAAAGTTAGTTTAGGTAAATTTTCTCCTGTAGTAACACTGGATCAATAAGAGATTGGACCTCTAGGAAGAACAGTTCAGAACTGATAGAGCTATCCAGTATAAATAAAGTTAGTTTATCTTAGGTTTCCTTCTGTAGTAACACTGGATCAATAAGAGAGGACTCTTACTGGACCTCTAGGAAGAACAGTTTAGAACTGATAGAACTATCCAGTATAAATAAAGTTAGTTTAGTTTAGGTTTCCTCCTGTATTAACACTGGATCAATAAGGGATGATCCTTACTGAACATCTAAGGAGAATAGTTTAGAACTGATAGAACTATCCAGTACAAATAATATTAACCAGTCTTCTTCTTTAGGTAAAACTCTGTTGGCACAAACGATAGCAAAATGTTTGGATGTTCCATTTGCAATCTGTGACTGTACGACCCTGACGCAAGCGGGTTATGTTGGTGAAGATATTGAGTCCGTGATCGCTAAACTCTTACAAGAAGCGAATTTTAATGTAGAGAAAGCCCAGCAAGGTAGTGTGACACACACGGATAGAACGACTCATAATCGAGTAAGAGTGGCCAGGGGCCGGTTGTTCAATTGGTGGATTAACGCTAACCCTTGGCTAAAATCTAACCTGCTGTTTTGGTTTATATATTTCTGCACGTCTGTTTATTTCAAAACTTCAGAGAAGAAAACTCCTACTGATTCAGACAAGATTTCTGAAGAAATGTTTCCAAATTTGTAAACAAACTGTTGGAAAGTTTACTCTGAATTTTAGGTTAACCTAGGTTAAGCTATGGCCCCTGGTTTATATTAAATTATACGCACTGTTAGATGTACTTTTCGTACAGATGTACTTTTCGTACTCCGAAAGAAAAAAGTCGCGTTTTCAAACCAATCTATACAAATACGATATACGGAGGCGCTGTGGTTTGTGGGAAGTTTTACGCATAAGTCATGTGATGGTTGTTGTAATATTCTTCCTAATTCTGTTTCTATAGGGATAGTTTTTCTAGACGAAGTAGATAAGATCAGTTCTGTTCCAGGATTTCATCAACTTCGCGACGTTGGAGGAGAAGGAGTCCAACAGGTTGGTCTTCGCTAAATGTTTGAGTACTTTGAGTTTCTCACTTATTGGTGAGCGGATTTGCCAACAGGCTATTGCCCAGTTGATAGGGGATCCGAGGTACCTATGATTTAACGTGCTTATTCGAGAAGATGCGAAAGTCTAACCATTTACTGATGTCAATGTAAAGATAGCACTTTCTCCTCAATTATTTTAAGACCTTCAGTAGGGGTCTCCCAGCTTGAAAGGCAAGCGTGATGACCATGACACCGCCAATGCTGGTACAAGTTCTTTTGTTTGTCATTATTAGAGACCTTACGATTTTAGGACGGCAACGCGACGACGACGGCCAAAACAAATTTCTTCAAATAAATGGTAGTAAAGATAATAAAAGATAATTCGTCGTATAGTATCAATCGAATTAATACAGTCTTAGAAGTTGAAGACATAGGTTTTGAACAGTTCTGCTATACCCAGTTTGAAGTTGCACTTGTTGCGGCTTGAAATGCAGCCGTTGTATCAAGACGTGAAAATCTGTGATTTGGCGTTGTAAACAGAGCGAGGACAATGTCTAAATTATTCATATATTGTAATTATTCAATTCTTTGCAATGATCTATTGTATTGGTAGCCGTTGCCGTCGCGTTGCCGTCGTAAACTGTAAGGTCTCTATTAACGTTATTCTACTTCTCCTAGGGTTTACTGAAGATCCTTGAGGGTACGATAGTGAATGTTCCTGAACGCAACTCACGTAAGATGCGAGGAGAGACAATTGCTGTTGACACGACAAATATTTTATTCATTGCATCTGGTGCTTTTAATGGCCTTGATAAGATTGTGAGCGGAAGAAAGCAAGATAAGGTAGGAAACTTCAGATTGATTTTACCTTTTTTAGGGGCTGATTACATGGAGAACTTTCAACCCCGGGGTTGAACTCAGCCCTGTTAACCGGGTTGAAATTTTTTGCGATTACATGGACGATTTCAACCCCAGGGCTGAAACGCTATACTATACGTTCTCGGAATCGATTCCCGGAAGTAAAAAAGCCTTCGTTTTGTTTTCTTGTAATAAATAGTCACTACCACGCATGCTCGAATAACCGATGATAATTTCAGCCCTGAGTTGAAACGATTATACATGACAAAATTTTCAACCCAGGGCTGAGTTCAATCCCGGGGTTGAAATTTCAACCCTGCTAGCTGAAGAAGGGTTGAAATTTCAACCCCGGGGTTGAACTCAGCCCTGAGTTGAAAATTTTGTCATGTAATCGCGCGCTTGATTTTGATAGAGTTTTGTATTACAGACAGGGCTGAAATTTCAACCCGGTAAACAGGATTGAGTTCAACCCCGGGGTTGAAAAGATAGTTGAGACGCAAACCACGGCAGTTTATTGTACAATACTCTCGATGTAAGTAACGGAGCAGTTTGAACAACTACGGCGTACTAAAATGTTCAAGGGAATATAATTTGTCAGTCGCTTTTGTCGTAGAGTAAAATGCCGTTGCCGTTGTAAGCTCCCAAACTCACTAGTAGCTTCCGACGAAGTGTCTTCGACGGAAGGGAAACGACAAAGTCCTGTTAATATTTTTCAGTTGTATGTTATCGTCGGAGCTGTCCATTGTAGAATACTACCTACACTGGACCACACGATGTTTGAGATGACATTCTGTATGCTCTGTTGCAGGTAATGGGTTTCCAAATGCGGCCAGTGAGTGCCGCGCCAACGTTCGAAGGCAATACAATGGATATTTTCAACTACAAAGTTAGTGCAGAGAGCGAAAGTGCCGAGAAAGATGCTTTGCTTCAGGACGTCGAGGCTGGCGATTTGATTAAATTTGGAATGATCCCTGAATTTGTCGGCCGTATGCCAATTACAGTGAGCTTGCAGTCACTCTCGCGGGATATGCTGGTCAGGATACTGCAAGAGCCGAGGAATGCATTGGTGCCACAGTTTCAGACATTGTTTGATATGGATAAGGTATAAAGCTTACTACTTTAGGGAGCGGTCATCACAACCTCGTACCCAGGGCCCTTGCGCGGTTCAGAGGCTCTGGTTCATCATTTATGGCGGGAGGTGGCATCGAAGAGAAAAGGGTTGGGTAAACAAAATTTTGAGTAAATGAAAGTAAAACAAAATTTTCAGTAGGTTGGGTAGCCTAGTTCCGAAATACCACACACTCGAACCGACTTGACCTCCTCGTAGCTGAGTTGGCAGAGCATTGGACTAGTAGTATCCCTAAGGTCGCGCGTTCGATTGGAACCACTGTGGTCAGGCAAACTTCTTAGCTTGCCCGGTGTGGATACACACTCAAAGTAACATCAGAAACATTAGGTTGGGTAAATGAAGAACAAAATAACTCAAAGGTTGGGTAATAAAAATCTATTGTCATTTCCAAAGCATGACTCACTCAAATATTGAAGACTAAAAAGTAATGTCAACAGTCTTATGTCAATACAATATGTAAATCAATCAGAGTCACTATCTTGATCATTTTCCGATTTGTCAGGAGGCAAAAGTGTCTCCATAAAAAGTACATGTGCAGACAACATGAAATTTTAGACTGCAGAAAATTTCACAAGCATGCAGTTATTACTCATGTCATGCACATGCAGGACATGCTATCCAATATAAAAGGTTAACCATCTTTACTTCCTTAGTAACGAAATGGGCTGATGCTAATGTATACTTCGATCTTTATATAGGTCGAGCTAGATATTACCCAAGATGCGTTGTGTTTGATAGCTCAACAAGCGCTCGAAAGAAATACTGGCGCGAGAGGACTAAGATCTATAATGGTAAGCAGCTATGATATTGTGAAGTGTTCTTTTTGGCGTTCCTCTCAAAATTACTTTGTTTTAGTTTTATTTTGTAGTTCACACAGTTGAGAAACACAAAATAATAGTTAAATATTGTCAATTTAAATACAATTATCATTGATGCTATAAAATTGACGCCATATTTATACACCAATATAAGCAAATCTTGCTGAACTTCAGACATCATTTTCTCTTTGGCGTATCATCTAAAATCTCTTCATTTTATTATAATTTTACAGATAAACCACCAAACATACTTTTTAAGTTTATTTGCCGCTTGAGAAACGAATAAAAAAATTTTAAAAATTGAATATAGTCATAACGAAGTTATATTCATTCTAGTTTTGAGCGCGTGTTAAGTAACATACAAAAGATTCTCCACTTAACATTACGTTCTCGCTGTGATAACTGCTCAGAGCCTTAGTATAACATTTAAACTTCTTTTCCAGGAAAAGTTGCTACTTGAGCCGATGTTCGAAATCCCTGAATCCGAAATCAATTATGTCTGTGTTGACGAAGACGTCGTTAAAGGAACCAAAGCCACCATTTATAGAACTTTGCAAAAAGAGAGCGAGGATGATTGTGAAAACAGTGTTGACGATGATGCAGAGTCGTTTCCAAAAGACGCGACGTCGAGCGGTTGACTTCTCGACTGCGCGATTTTGTTTGGAACTTTGAACACCGCGATGCGTGGCATTGGAAAGATTTTAGATCCCTCTTGTAAATTTTACGCATTTGATATGTCTAACTTAATAAGATTGACAATATAAGAATTTGGAATTGAATTTTTAGATCGTAATGTGTAGTTGTGTTAGGAAAGTTGTCCATTTTAAGATTTCTATAAATTGTGTAGCACGTAAAATGTAAAGTAGTGAAATATTTATACATTATTTTGTGAGTGTCGTTTCGTCAGCTTCATGACGGTGAAATTGCATAAGGCTGATAAATGTGTCCGACCAATTTTGTCTTGGCAACTGAAAGTAGGCTTTCTTCAAATCTCCCTTTGTCGTAACACTATATACACACGTAAAAATTTCACAACTTGTTAACAAGATGCGTTCGCAACAGGCTTGTAGCAAGCTCGTCACCAAGTTGTAACAATGCTGTTATTTTATCAAGTTGCCACAAGGTTGCCCCTCACAACTTGTTGACAAATTGTTGAATTGCAGGACGATAACAAGTTGTTGGAACAACTTGCGACAAGTCTGTTGAGCTCGACAACCTTGTAGCAAGTTGTCAACAAGCTCGGAACAAGCAGTGCGAACACATCCTGTTGACAAGTTGTTGGAACAGCACTGGCCACAAGTCTGCTGCAGGTTTGTTACAACTTGTGCTTTTTTACGTGTGTAAATCGTATACTTTTACAGCACAAAGTAAAATTACATCAAGTGGTATCGTTTCCTGGGTATATTATTTCGTTTATTCGAGAATTGGTTCTTTTGTACATGCTACGGTATTGTAAAGATATATAAGTTGACTTAATTTGCATGCCTCTCGCTTTAGCCATCGATACACAACGATCTGTCAATCTGGCGCCAAACGTTAGCACTCGAGGTTTTTATACTATTTTTAATAATGATCGTTGCATGGAACATAATAGAGACCTTACGATTTAGGACGGCAACGGCTACCAATACAATAAATCATTGAAAAGAATTGAATAATTAGAATATATGAATAATTTAGACCTTCATGATTTTTCCGTGTTGGTGTAATGTACTCAGGTGAATATGATGCTTGTGATGTTACTCTGAGTGTATATCCACACCGGGCAAGCTTGAAAAATATGCCTGACCACGGTGGGAATCGAACCTACGACCTTTGGAATACTAGCCCAATGCTCTGCCAACTGAGCTACGCGGTCTGGTCGGTTCGAGTATGTGATATTTCGGAACAGAATCTAGTTCCTTCGATATCAATGGTCAGGCATATTTTTCAAGCTTGCCCGGTGTGGATATACACTCAGAGTAACATCACAAGCATCATAATTTAGACATTGCCCTCGCTCTCTTTGCAACGCCAAATCACATATTTTCACGTCTTGATACAACGACTGCATTTCAAGCCGCAACAAGAACAACTTCAAATTGGGTTCAGCAGAACTCTTCCCAAACATAAAACCCATGTCTTCAACTTCCAAGGCTGTATTAAATTCACACGATTGATAACATATGACGAATTATCTTTACTACCATTTATTTGAAGGAGTTTCTTTTGGCCGTCGTCGTCGCGTTGCCGTCCTAAAATCGTAAGGTCTCTATTGCTTGGCGTAACAACCCTTGCAATGCAATGCTGAAATCGTTTTTCTTAACATTGCAAGCAAGTTCCGAGACAGATTGCTTAGTGTAACAGCGCCTTATAGGGATACAGCTGCCTGAAAAATACAAGGAGATCTTCGACGTTTCCAACGAAAGGCCTTAATCGTTGCGTTCTAGCACGGATTCTGATTTAGAGGCGTTCAATGATAATCCAACAGATGGTAGCTTCGCACCATTGTCTGTCGAAGTTCTCCTAGTATTTTTCAGGTAGTAGAGGTGTGCCGATCCGAATCCGATCGGATTCGTTTGGATTTCGGAACAAAAATATTCATTTCGGATTGATAAAGTTGTTTCGTAGCCGGATCGGACTTCGATATTGTCAGCTTCTTGACATGTATTTCTTGCTTTTATATTTATTTGGTTAAATTAAATATTTCCACTTGAATGAGAAATTTATTTTATTAAAGGATTCTTCGGATCGGATCGGAATTCTTTATCAAAACTCGGATCGGATTCGGATTAGACAATTTCGGATCGGATTGGATTTTAAACATTAGCCTATTGTCGGATTATAAACGTCCAATCCGATCCGATGCACACCTCTATCAGGTAGTTGTATTCCTATCAATCGGGAGTTCTCTAGATGTGACCTCTTTGATTTTTTGACTACATCACAATGGTGTAAAAGTTAACTCGGGTTAACGCAGGTCAGTGTTCGTGGTGTATCGCGGGCTTAGTCGTTATGGCATTTTCTTTACAGATGTTTACACAGCTCTTGATATAAAAAATACTTTATATATAGTTTTAACTCGACTTGATTAAAAACCCTTCATTGACACTATTCTATATATACACAACAACATGCACGATTATATACATCCTGTATATATCAATCAGACCTCGTGATCATATACCAATGATCGTTATTTAATGCTCCAATCGATGCTTCGTCCAATCCATTTCTGAAATAAAAGATCATGCAGTATTATTAGAAAGTTTCACTTGTGGGTGCTTATTACAGTCATATCAAGAAAAGGAGATTTCCTTTGCGTTTTGCTCATAAACTAGTAATGTTATTTATATTATGAACAATATTTATAACACATGAGGTATATACTCATTCAGTATAGTAAAATACTGCTATCAATAGAGGACTTTAGAATAAGAACTAAAATTACAAATAATCTATGATATAAACATGCAATGTATAAAAAGTCCAGAGTTTATATATAATCTCGACAGTACTTAGAAGTTAAAAGTTGCAATGTCTTTAATTTCTTTCAAAAATTCATTAATAATTCATGAGGAAAATACAAAGAAAAATCATAAGCGTGTCGTATCTTTATATGTGATAGAGATTTCCCTTGATTTACATAAATTTTAACTTTGATTTTCTCTACTTACACAACGTATTTTTTTAAAATTGCTTCGCCAATGAACCTACTAGATCGATCGTTTTTGAGGCAATTTAAAACGTTCGCAGTGCGTGTTTTATCAGACCTAAAGATACTAGGCTTCGCCTCGTATCTTTATATCTGATAAAACAATGCTACTCATGTTTTAAATAGTTTGAAATAAGCATGATAAAAAGTAATAGTATATCTGCATTCAGGAATTAAAAATGTCCTGTACAATATTTTACATCTAAATTTAACAAATGAGCACTCTTCTTTCAAATCTGTTGGTATAATGTGTTAAAAAGTACTAGTTTTCCTCCTTGGAACATAAACGATTTCCAACCAATCTCAGTTCTCACTTTTGGTAGCAGGGCTTGAAATAACGTTCCCAAAGTTCCCGATCATGGTGATCGGCAGTCATGACTTTCCCTGTTTTTTTTTCAGGTTGGAAACCCTGCTTTTCGCCGATCGTAAGAAATTTCTTGCCGATCATTGACCGACTATTATTTCAAGCCCTGTGGTAGCACAGTGTTCTTCCTGTTATTTCGAGTATTTGTATAATGTATGTTCGAGTATTTTAGAATGTATATTCGAGTATAAATAGAGGATATTACACGGCGACGCGAAGATATGACTTTTATCTTCGAGTGGTGAAAACAATATTTTACGAACAAGCACAGCGAGTGAGTAAAATATTGTTTTTAACACGAGAAGACAAAAGTGACATATTCAAGCCACCGTGTAATGTTCTGTTTATTACATAGTCCCAAGCAAAAAATTGTGAAATTTCACGCTCAAAAGCAAATTGGAAAAAGTCACATGATCGATATCTTCACTAGTGAAGATATGGAAAATATCTCACTGTGTATTTTTCAGTATAATAACTCTCTACTATAACTCTCTCTCTACTATATAATAATGAAACTTACTTTGACATTCACGGCTGCAGTAAAATTTCGTACCTTTTCCTTTGCATCTGAAATATTGAGTAGAATATTGAGAATTTGCTCAACTCTCATCAAAGTCAGAGTTTAAATACGGTTTACAACTTTACATAGTTATACTTATACTATATGAAGGAATGTCGTGAAGAATTGTGTTTTATTGTCTTTGTTCAAAGCTTTAGGGGGCTTGAACGTGTAGCCACTAGATGCTCTACCGTCCAATAGGCACACACGTGGAAATCTTATAACTTGTCAACAAGATGTGTCCGCAACATGCTTGTGGCAAGTTTGTCAACAAGTTGCAACAATGCTGTTATTTTATCAAGTTGCTACAAGGTTGTCACTCACAACTTGTTGACAAATTGCCAAATTGTTGAATAATGATAACAAAGTTGTTGGAACAACTTGTCACAAGTCTGTTGAGCTCAACAACCTTGTAGTAAGTTGTCAACAAGCCGTTGACAACTTGCCAACAAGCTGGGAACAAGCCAGTGCGAACACATCCTGTTGAAAAGTTGTTGGAACAGCATTGCTACAAGTCTGCGCAGGTTTGTTACAACTTGTGCGTTTTTACGCATGTAGGTTTTACTGACAGAATAACACAGTGAGTTGATGGTGGTCAACCTGCTGTCACAAGAGTGAGAAAATAATGTTTTTTATTATATTGGGTGTAGATGACCATGCACCATCTGCTGTTCTGTGGCGTTTACTGAAAACCACTACTAAGCACAATCCGCAAATAAAATAACAAAAGGTAAAAAATATCGATTGCTTACTTTTGACACTTTTTAAAAGACTTCACTTCGGTTTCTTGTTTCCTACAAAAGGAGCACGTACGAAGTTTGTTTTCCTTCAGCTTCTGTCTCCTCGCCTTCTCGTCAGCGACCATCTTCTCGTACTGCTGGTTGGGATGGTCTTCACCCAGAAGCAGCTCAGGAAACGTCCTACGCACGAAACGTTCGACGGCTGCATCGCAGTCTGACGAATCATCACTGCTAAGCAACCCATTCTCACGAATTCTTTTATGCGACTTTTTTCCTCTGGGACTTTTAACTTCAGGCTCTTTCGCCGCGTTACCCACGGACTTTTCAGATGCTTCGAGCTGTTTGCCCTCGGCAGTTTCACCTTCTTCGAGATTTTTACCTTCCTCGGAGTTTTTACCCTCTTCGAGATTTTCCTCCTCGGAGTTTTCACCTTCTTCGAGATTTGTACCCTCCTCGGAGTTTTTACCCTCTTCGAGATTTTTACCCTCTTCGGAGTTTTTATCCTCCGAACTTTTGTCCTCCGAACTTTTGTCCTCCGAACTTTTATCCTCGGGGTTTTCGTCCTCAGTACTTTTACCCTCTAAACTTTTATTCTCAGAACTTTTGCTCTCGGAATTTTGGTCCCCGGAGTTTGTATCCTCGGACGTTTTGTTCTCGGAACATTGATTCTCGGAACTTATTCCGTCCGAATTTATTTCCTCCGAATTTTCCCCTTCCGAATTTTTATCGTCGGAAATTTTCCCCTCCGAATTTTCAACCAAGGGACTTTTGCCCTCAGCCTCAGGACTCTTATTCTCTGGGGTTTTCACAACGGAACTTTTGTCCTCGGGATTTTTATCGCCGGGGCTTTTATGTCCCTCGGAACTTTTATCGCCGGACTTTTCCCCCTCGCTGTGCATACGTTTGTCCAAAGCGGCTCTTTTCTCGGCTATTTTAGCTTCGGCCAACGCCTTGTGTTTCTCGCAGAGGCAATTCATTAATTCCTCGCGTGTTGCTTGGGGCTGGTCGTGATGATGATGGTGATGATCATGCGCGTGGCCGTGATCATGCGCGTGGCTGTGGTCGTGCGCGTGGTCGTGCGCGTGGCTGTGGTCATGCGCGTGGTTATGCTTATGAGGATTGCAGTTACAAACCTTCCCGTGACAGGGATGCTGGCAGGGAATGGGTTCGAATTTCTTGCCTTTCTTTCTGAAATCGCGTTTCCGCTGTTTCCTCTCATGCATATCGTAGTAAAAGCTGGAAAAATCCTCGGCCGCGTCTGGATCGGATTTCGTCGATATGCCGTCATGCTTCACGACCAGTGCTTTCGAATGCCCGTCATTGGTAACGATTCTGGAGCTACCGACCGCTGATATAATTTGAAGGCCAGTGCCAGATCCCGTTTTGGAATTCCCAGCAGCTCCCAAATTTTGCTGGCTAGTTGAAGCTGCTTTTGGATTACTGACCGTTGATCTAGTTTGCTGAGAAGTAGAAAGAGCTTTTGCAATAGCCAGGGCTTGTTCTTTCATGGCTTTTTTCTCAGCCTTACTTTTCTTGCCTTTCACAGGCATTGGATACAGGCTCTCTTCCACGTCCAGCCATTTTTTAAGATAGCGGCATATTGATCCAGCGAACCTCACGTAGAGCGGTAGAACACATATAACCTGCACAAAAACGAAGACAGGATTAAATGAAGGTAGCTTTAAACTAAAGGGCGACTAAACACAAATATGATTTTACGTATGTGTAATATTTGGGACATTCGAAGAAGAAATGTAATATATCTTTGTAATAAAAAATCCCATCTTGATCAACTTTTTCACTGTCAAAGATCCGGTTGTCATTAGGTGAATGGACCATTTGCATTATAGACTAAATTTTGATCTAAACAAGTCTAGACAAAAACTTCATCACAGCTTGAAAGAGCATCTCAAAATTAGTAATATTCCAAAGTTTCGTTGCGACATGTTGTAAAATGCGGATAATATAGCCCTGCGAAGTTTACCGTTTTTCAGTCATTTTGTATTACAAACGGGAAATTGACAGCCCCAAAGGGTATTGGGCTGTCAATTTCCCCCGCGTAATACAAAATGACTGAAAAACGGCAAACTTCGCAAGGCTATATTATTCGCATTTTACAACATTTCGCGACGAAAGTTTGGAATATTACTAATTTTGTGATGCTCTTTCAAGCTGTGATGAAATTTTTGTCTAGACTTGTTTGGATCAAAATTTAGTCTATAATGCAAATGTTCCATTGCAAATTAGTTTTCCTTTGTTTTTCTGTACCAAAAATTCACCCAATGACATCATATCTGGAACTTTGACAGTGAAAAAGTTGACCAAGATGAGGTTTTTTACTATAAAGATATATCACGTTTCTTCTTAGAATGACCCAAATACTACACATACCAAAAATCATATTTGGGGTAAGTCACACTTTAAACATACAATACAGTACAGTATAGCTTATAGCCTACCTATGCTTTCGTGGTTAAAAGTTATTGGTACAGATTATAATTATACGATTACATACTTAGCCAAGATTACTTTATCGTTTATACAACAATTGTGATATTACTTTCTTAACTGTGTTTATTGTAGCCCACCCTGTCAACTTTCCCTGTGGGAGGAAAACCCGGAGAAAACCCACGACTTTCGGCAGAGCATTGACGGACTCTTTTCACACGAGTTCATACAGGCCTTAAAATATCTGACAAAATGTCCTGTGACGTTGAGTTTGGGTCGGACATATGTCTGATGACTTTCAGTTCACTTGACTCGGAAATAAGTCTGAATGACACAAATGAATAAACGGTGTATGTTGTAAAGATATTAAATAATTTGTTTCTTTCATACTTATTTCCAAGCCAAAATTAACTTGCTTTCCAGAACAGCAGTATTAAAAAAGACTTCGCTCTCGACTACGTTAAAACAACATTTCCAGTTGACCTTTATACAATAGTACTCTAATTTTCCATTTAACATACAAGCCTCTAGTCCTGGGCTAGGGTACATTTTGATTTACGGCGGACAAAGCTACAGTTCGGTCGGACACCAATACACTTGGGTCGGACAAACAATAAACCTCAGTTTCACTTTGGTCGGACAGAATGTCCGGTGGTTTCCTTTCTACGTCGGACAATTTCACGAATGGGTCGGACAATGTCCGTGACCGACCGATATTTTAAGGCCCGGTTCATAGCAAAAATCAAACCCACGAACTCAGAGGTGAATGGCGCTTGCTCTGAAGTCTGCGCCACTGAAGATTTGTTACACCGTAGCCAACAGAATAAGTAGGACGCAGACTTAATAGTACTCGTTAATTCATTTAATTAAAAACCTGATCGAGTACATGACCCAGGCTGTTAGGCTCACCTTAACACACGTTCCAGCCTCTGTAGGTTCTCCAAATAATCTTCGAAAAACATCTCTACAATGGGTAATGAAAATAAAGTTACTTAAAAGCAACTGGGAAAACTAATAGTAGTAATTATTTACACATTGTAAATAAATGTGCTTTTAGTTTTCCAATGTTATATTTAATAATGTAAAACTCGTGAATAATTCATGAAGAAAACACTAAAGATATCATGAGCTTGAAGGAGTTTGTATATCTGATACAAAATCATGCTGATTCTAAGTTCAATATTCTCACAGATTTTCGACTTTCTCAATAACTATGTAATCGGTCAAAAACAAGCAAAAAAGTGTTGTCGATGGCTGTATATAACCACTACTGACAAGAGATGAAACTGTCAACATCACTGATGAAGTAACACAGACGTCACAGAATACGTCACAAAGACCTGCAGTCATTGTAACACCCGCATCACCTTCTAACCCTCCTAGAGGTATGGTATGGAATGACCATTGACCAAAAATAGATACTCTTACTATGTATCATAAACACTAAAGATATCATAACTGTGAAGGAGTTTGTATATCTGATACAAATCATGCTGATTTACATAAACTTTAAGTTCAATTTTCTCACAAAATATCGTTCATTTATTTTAAATTGTTGACAAATAAGTTCTCATACAACACGGCCGCAAAAAATACGAAATGAAACGTCCAAAGTTTGTCCAAAAAATGTTAAAGTTTGTTCTTATTTTTCACAAAAACCTGCAAATTACTTTGAGGAAACTGAAACTTTCATACATTTTTGCACATACCTTGTTTCTTTATGAAAAAATGGATCCTTGGCTAAATAAGACAATTGCAAAAATAAAAGAGAATTAAGTTATAAATGATAGCACGCTGTCAGTATATAAGAAATACAGTCAAATTAACCGAGGTACAAAGACTAAAATATTTCAATACTTATTTACCATATGAATGAGAGTCCATATATTGAATCATGTGTTTATTTCTTGCCACAATAACTGAGTCATTCAGAAATTGCTTAGCAGTGCTGAATTTACCTGGGAAGGGAAAAATGTTATTCAATCTTGAATGGTGGGTGCCACCAGAGTAGGTAGCAAGGATTTAATACAGAGCACTGTAGAAGATTCAAATGCTGAAAAATACTCAATTTATTTATTAATTAAATATTTATACAGGATGAATCACTTCAGTTCAATGGAGAACAGTTATCAATGTGAGTCCTGTAATCCTAATAAATTTCCTAAAAGCATTCACTAATATAGCTATAATATTAAGAATTTGAAAAAGTTAAAGATTTAAAAATATCCTTTCAAAAGCTTATTGACTAAGTTATTATCTTCTGCTTTTCAAATGTTAAAGACAATGTCAAGTCTGTAATGTAAACAAATCCTTTGTTTACATTTTGAACTGCCATATTTGTAAAACAAGACATACTGACTGAATATCTAACACGTTTCTGGCTCGCTATTGTAAATGAATATAAACTAGAGTATGTTTCAATTTAATAAAGTTCAAAAGATGCAAAATTTGGGCAATGTTTATTTCTGTCCATCCCCCTTTGTTATGAGCAGAACTGATGTGCAGAACAAATTTGACATGGTCTTTTAAATGTTTCGCTTTCCGAATGTTTTTCAAATGTTTCACGTTTCAAATGTTTCGCTTTCCAAATGCTTTTCAAATGTTTTGCTTTTCAAATATTTCACTTTTCAAATGTTTACCAAAAAGACTTCAATGATTTCGAGCTAAAGCCCTTCATCTGGAAGCTGGCCACTTAACCGTCCACACAAAGGGCCTTTACTCAAAACGTCAAGGTTCTTTTAGTACTTGTCAGGTACTTGAATCTTCTACGGTGCTCGCTGAGGAAAAACATTGGCTATTAAGCGGAATAAACAAATTAATTACATTCCAATAACTTCCACTACATGTACAGTAGAGTTAATTATGGAATCAATTTAAGAAGATTTTTACAGTTTGCATAAAATGTTTACCATTTATAAACGTTTCTTGTGTATATTGTCTGAAACTTTCTATGAACTTTTTCTTTGGATCACTCTACAAAGACAAGATGAAAATATGTTTTTAAATATAAAATATAATTAAGAATATGGGAGATATGTACAGTATATCAAATAAAATTTATAGATGTTTGCAATTGACCAAGGCATCATTCCTGGGGAGACTGAATCTATAACCCTGAAGACCCAACAACTTTTAAATCTGTCTCTGTGAAATGTCACACAACGTACCCATCAAGTAACTTAGGCCAAAGAAAAAATACCTGGGTTTTCAGTTTCCCGACACTACCTAGCTTTTGGCTACCAAAATCACCGACCCTAATACTACATACCATGGTTGCAATGGCTTTAATCTCGATATGGTTGTATGAATATTCACAAAATGCATCTAAAAACAACTGCCTTTGTTCCTTTGGCTAAAAAAGTGAAGACAAAACATTCATTAGAACTCTGTTGTTAACTCACTTGGTTGCGATGCATCCTAATGCACATTTTTTTGTCTCTCTTTGTCTTTACACTACACAACTTTTCCCTAAAACTGTCGCACGCAACCTGCTTACAACTCAAGTTGTACTGTGCAAATCAAGCACGCAACTCATCTACGACAACATGGGCAAGTTGTGTGCTCCGGACTGGAAAGTTTGGAAATTGCGCGGGGAGATTTCGAAAATTTAATAGTAAATATACAGAAAGCATCAAAATACACATATACAAACTTTCCAAACTGGTGTGTTCTTGATTTACAGTACAGCACAACTCAATTTGTAAGCAGGTTGCGAAAAACAGACTTAGGCAAACGTTGTGTAGTGTAAATTGGTCTTAATGCCAGATGATTTTACTCATCAAGGGGAGAGCCTTGCACATTAATGGCTTAAAACAAACATGGTGATATCTGTATTTTGCATTAAGAATCCTCCAATCTCATCGACCGATTTGAAAAATCAAAACTGGTAGTCATTCTTTTTTCTCCTCAAATTAATTTCAAATATAACACTATGTATTCTTTTTGAGAAATGAAATCTTAAACACAACAAAATTTCGGCTAGATTCAGCAAGGAAGACTGACTAGCCTCATTTTGGTGATTCTTGCACATTTCAAAGGGCTATAATTTCACTTGTATGGATTGTTTTCAATCTTAAAAAATTGTTTACTAGCCTGCATAAAATACAAAATGCAAAATTGTGGTGGCTAAATTTCGAATCAGTCAATGCTCATCATAAATTCAACAAAAATTATTCCAAAAAAGTCTTCTATCATTGATTTACAAAATCTATGCTTCATCTCACTTTAGGCCAAGTACTAATAAATGTGTAATGGCAGGAATCCACCTATGTCAACAAAAAGGGGAATTTTTGTAATAAAAAATGACGTAATGCCAACAGGCTGTACAGTTTCGGGAATTTCAATAGCAATCTGCTCAGTAGATCAGGCCTAAATTGGGAAAATATTTTGCATATGAAATGAATATTCGACACTTAAGTATCCTGTGTAGTCACTCGACAGTCTCTTGTGCATAGAGTCACATTACAAGCTTTATTATGGTCGAAAATTTCGTTTTCCTTTTGCCTATCCCGGCGAGGAAAAAGATGACTGGTTACCATGACTGAGCAAGTTTTGACACATATTGCGATAAATAGCCGTATTAATTATCAAATCTACATAGAATACTTGCATCATAAACCTACCTCTTCTTGCATGAAGCGTTTAAAAGCGCCAATATGCTTGCAAAAGTATTCGTATTCATAGCTGTTTAGTTCTGCGTCGAATAGACTGAAATCGTTGCTACTAATTGGTATCCTTTTCAGCATATTTCTGCCTCGATTGCCAAAACAATAAAAGCATACAAAAGTAGGAACACTATATTACAAACTGGTTAAAATTTACGATTTAAAAACGCTGTTGATCGTCGTTACAGTCGTTTTAAGAACACCGAGTTTATTCATTTCGCTCGTAATACGACGCCATGTTGGTTTATCATTCCAAGAACACCAAGCCTGGGTTTAGGGGAGCACGCAGGCAGTCAGGCATGACTTAGCCGAGCTGTGACGTAGGCACAAAATGCATTCCATATATGGTAGTGATATGATAAAATTTGTGAATTTGATTACGTTGGCTGATCTGATTTCCGATTCTTCCCCTTCTCCCGCTTTTTCCAATTGTCATGTTCACCGTCAGGTCCTTGCAATTCCTTGCTTCCCTTAACTTTTTGCTATGTCTACCAGTCCGCATCTTCTGATCTCTTCATTCCATAATGTCTCTGACCAGCTCTCCTTCATCTCTTCTTATTACGTGTCCATACCATCTCAACCTTGCTTCCCTCACCTTCTCTGCAATGTCTACCACCTCACATCTTCTGCTCTCTTCATTCCATAATGTCTCTGACCAGCTCTCCTTCATCTCTTCTTATTATGTGTCCATACCATCTCAACCTTGCTTCCCTCACCTTCTCTGCAATGTCTACCACCTCACATCTTCTGATCTCTTCATTCCATAATGTCTCTGACCAGCTCTCCTTCATCTCTTCTTATTACGTGTCCATACCATCTCAACCTTGCTTCTCCCACCACCGATCTCTTCTGCATAAACTCCATATCATCTCAAGCTTGCTTCGCTCACCTCCTCTGCAATCTCTAACATCTCACATCTTCATCTGATCTCTTCATTCCATAATGTCTGATGTCTCTGACCAGCTCTCCTTCATCTCTTCCTATTACGCTTCCATACCATCTCAACCATGCTTCCCTCACCTTCTCTGCAATGTCTAACACCTCACATCTTCTTCTGATCTCTTCATTCCATAAATAATGTCTGATGTTTCTGACCAGCTCTCCTTCATCTCTTCCTATTACGTTTCCATACCATCTCAACCATGCTTCCCTCACCTTCTCTGCAATTTCTAACACCTCACATCTTCGTCTGATCTCTTCATTCCATAATGTCTGATGTTTCTGACCAGCTCTTCTTCATCTCTTCTTATTACGTGTCCATACAATCCCAACCTTGTTTCCCTCACCTTCTCTGCAATATCTACCACCTCACATCTTCTTCTGATCTCTCCATTCCATAATGTCTCAGTGTCTCATAACATCGCGCCAGTGAAAAGAAAAAATTATAGTAACATTCAACACCTTTTTAAAATCAACGCAAATTTATAATGACATGCAAAAACATACAAAGCGGTAAAAATCTTTCGTTAGTAAAAGTACAAAATATATGCAAGTAAAAGAGGCGAGATAAAGCTCAGAAATAAATGAAGTTCGGATACACGCGTTGCCGAGTTACCAATCTTTGCCAATTTCACATGTTTACCATTACAGAGGTTATGGTCACACCAGCTGATACAACGTAGCTTGCCCGTACGGTCGTCACAGCTGTTCGCACTCCGCCAACTACGTCCGCAACCCGCACTCACAACCCGCGGTCCATGACGACGGAGTATCTCAGCCTCTTCTCGAAAACACGCGTCGTCTTCGCCTGTACATGTTGTCACGCCATTCGCCAAGCAATCTGCTAATGTTCGCTCATATTTACATGTGTAGCAAACGAGAGAGTCGCCTGTACAAAGAGAAAAGTGATAGACTGTTATATATATAGTGGATAGTTCTATCAGTTCGATTCTAAACCGTTCTCCTAGGGATCTTCTTTCGCTCAGTGTTAATACAGACGGAAGCTTAAACTATAAACTAGCGAATACTAGTCTAGGTAGCTCTATCAGTTCTTAACTGTTCTCCCTGGAGGTCCAACAAGGATCATCTCTTATTGATCCAGTGTTACTACAGGAGGAAACCTAAACTAAACTAAATTTATTTATACTGGATAGCTCTATCAGTTCTAAACTGTTTTCCCGGTCCAGTAAGAGTCATCTCTTATTGATCCAGTGTTACTGCAAGAGGAAACCTAAACTAAACTAACTTTATTTTACTGGATAGCTCTATCAGTTCTAAACTGTACACACTACAGTTCCAGTGGGGCTTCATGACAAATTGTTCGCGAAGTCAATAATTAGAAGTTAGAACTAAAATTCTGAAATCCTAACACTTAAATAGAAGTTTATTTAATTATTTATATTTCAACTTTAATTTTTAAACTCTTTAATTAATAACACTATGTCACTGACCTGGACTAAACAACGTCAAACATAATACCAAAACTATCAAACTCCTTGCCATTCTTTCCCCCATCGAGTCCAACGGTCCTGTGTGTGACGTCACCTAAATTAGAAATATGCGCAAGACCAAATGATTGCCAAAAGGAATGGTACCGGTTAGAAAATTCCGAATCTCAAATTGAGCAAATATGTCGGCCTAAATGTCCTAAAAACTATTAATAATCACCGCCGTGTCGGGTGTTTTATATGTGATAAAAAATCATGTTCATTTACATAAACGTTAGCTTTGATTTTCTCGGCTTAGACAATGTTTATTTTTAAAATTACTCCGCTAATGAACTCATAAGATGGGTCGTTTTTTAAGCCATTTAAAACACTCGCAGTTGTTGCTTTATCAGATATGAGGCACTCGACTGTCGCCTCCTATTTTATATCAGATAAACCACTCCTGCTCGTGTTTTAAATAATACAAAGCATATAGAAGCAGAAAATTCTGAAATAGGCATAACGTCACAAATATGACAAAATAATGACAAAACAATGACACACAGGACAGCAAGTGAGATTTTCAAAACAATGAAAAGACAATAGAACATTCCAATCACTGGATCATGACTGGATGGCATTGGCATACCATTATTATGCTGAGTATTAGGCAAATCGCTTTGCTTTTCAACAAGAATTCGTTGATATATATATATATATATTTTACATTTTGCTTAAAATATGGTTTAAAATATTACAGTACAGCAATCTATTGTTTTAAATCTTAAATAATATGTACAGTTTCATCAAACAAATATTTTCATATAAATATCCCAAAGTTAGCTTTATAAACAAGCCTCGCATTGGCGTTATCAACCGATAAGCTCTTTTTAGAGCAGCTTTAGTCTTTGTTTAAATGAGCACGTCTTTGTTGAGTGCATCAGAAATTCAGGATGGACACCGTATTTGAAATATCGTTGCAACAAAACACTGCGCAAAACAACGCGATCTCTCGCACGCTAGCTAGTGCGTGCTAACGTTTGCGCGCACCGTGTCCAAGTTACCAAATCTCCATCGTTTTGGTGACGCCTCGCTGAAAACAAAGACCAAGGTTGACGACTTCTTTAAAGCTGTGTAGATTTCATTCCAACAAACTGATGGCCATTTGATGAACGTTGTTGGCTTCGCGAAGAAGAATGGCCATTCGCTGCTGTATTTCGTCTGGATGTCGGGTGCTAGAAATTGAAGAAGTAATGTTTAGCGCGTCAAAGAATATGGTATGGTGTGATATGGTATGGTATAGCATATGGTATGGTATGGTATGGTACGATATGGTATGGTATGGTATGGTATGGTAAGGTATGGTATGGTATGGTATGGTATGGTATGGTATGGTATGGTATGGTAATGTATGGTATGGTATGGTATGGTATGGTAATGTATGGTATGGTATGGTATGGTATGGTATGGTATGGTATGGTATGGTATGGTATGGTATGGTATGGTATGGTATGGTATGGTATGGTATGGTATGGT